GCACTTTGGGAATCACCACGTTGGTGCAAAAAAATCTATCACATACCTGTCAAACTGTGGTATCATTGGCATTTTTTGTAGATTCAACGAAAGAATGTGTTTTTGGAGAATGTGTTTTTGCAACAGGCTACTAAGCGCCTAAAGATTTAAAACTAGTTGCTTTGCTAAGTTGTTATGTGTAAACACAACACTAGTTCAGGCAGGTGTGTTCTTATGTTTGAGTGATTCATAAACCAGTGTTAAGTTAAATTACAATATCATGGTTGATGTGTAAAATCTGTAGGTTTTTCACACATTAATGGCAGAAGTTAAACACTTGAATGCTTTAGTAAATTTTTAGCTCACAGGAAAGAATGATTGTGCGAAAAAAAAAGAATCAGAACTGAAAGCTGAATCTCACCATTTTATGCAAAGCGTGGAATTCGCTGTAGCGTTTCTCAACAGCATGCTGTCTGCCGTTCATCAACACGTCAATTTTAAAAACCTGAAAGAAAAAAGATAAGTCAGCTCAGTGACTCATTCGACTGAAAATTTCTCCGCTCTACCCATACACTCAGCAGTGACAGTAACGTCGATGTCAGCATTAATTCCACAACAAGAGGAAACATCTGGCTGTTGTGACAGAAAAAACAAATTGATCTGTCAGAGTTACTGTTAACATCCCTAAACAGGCTGCCTTACACTTCCCTTCCTATCAGTAAGAGATTCACAGCACGCACGCTGCCGTTCTGGACAGCATTTTGCAAAGGAGGAAATTCACAATAAATGACGGCAGCGCTGTGAACACACACACCGCATCATCCAAGACGGAAAAGCCAACAAGTAATCATTATTAACAAATGCTGGAAGAATCCAAACAGGTGTTGGATCTTATTTAAAAATATATTTTAAATAAAATATATAATCATCTCATAAACCTGAACACAGTGTCCATGCGTGAATACTGAGAAATGAATTCAGAAAACTTTGTTTTTATGGGTACTACACAATATCTTGGAGGTCAGGAAGTCAAACTCAAAAGCACTGCTCTAAGGTCCTCATGACTTCCAGCAATAAAACATCATGACATTAAAACAGGAAAAAAAAGCCTTCCTCAAAATGATGCCACAAAACTGGGAACTGTTGCCTAATTGAACAGTGGTTCCCAATAAAGGGGATAGGACTCCTTAGAGCAGGGGTGTCAAACACAAGGCCCGTGTTTGACACGGCCCACAAAGACCAGCACAGCTGTGGAAAATGTAAAGGAGGGCATAGATTTTCTACTTTTAACTGTATTTTCATCGATTTTACAGCGTTTCCTACTGATGAAGTCCACCACTGCCATTCATTCTACACCAAAGTAATAAATAAACAATAACAATTAAACTACAGAAAAGTTTTTTCTTACCATCTACTATAAAAATTAATATATATTTATATTTTCTTTTACAATGGGTCCACAGCAGGGGAAAAAGTTGATTTTTTGGGCCACCAGAACACATTTATTTATCTGCGCTGACAGATTTCTTACTTTTTTTTTTACAGCAGCATTTCTTTATTGTCTAGAAAAACTGAGATATATTGTTGAAACTGGTCTTCTTTTAGTATTGATTGGTATTAAATCCGCAGTCCAACTTCTTTACACTGACAGTGGTTTGGCCCACTTATGGTCAAAGTGGGCTGTAACAGTGGCAAAATGAGTGACGTGCTTAAAAAAAATGTTGTAGTCACAAGATGAGTAAAAGATAGATATATATCTTACTGATTCTGATGTTAGAAGACTGCAGTACAATTAGTTTGATCTCTAAATTAGTAAATGACTGATTTTAAAAAGCTGAAACCACCCTTATATGTTTGCAGTGACAGCAGCCTTTACCTGAAGTGATTTTAGACAATATTTTACAAAAGAAAACATTTAAGGGTGAAGCAGTGCTGCCTGGATTAAATCCTTCCCTTTGTTTATTCCCAGTCAAGGACTCCCTACACTATATATCTTTAAACTGAGCATATCTCAGCTACTTATAACCTCATTAAAGTATTTATCTTTATCTTATTCATTCCTTACTCTAGATTATTATTGTTATTATTATTTATTTATTTATTTACAGATGTCAAGATGTCAGCTGGGTGTGGAGGGCTGGTTTAAAACTCTGGAGCCTCTTTGATTAGACACAGATTCTAAAGTCAGAGTAACTTTTGCCTCTTTTCGTGCCTCATTTGCGCCATAAAGTGCGATTTCGGTGCTGATTTGAAGCGAGCAGAGTGACGTTTATGATCTAACAGAGAGAGAGACAGCGGCACAGTTGACATTAAATCTGATGACAGCGGCAGGACAGGCGACACACAGACACACAGGGTTTATTAGGGAGCAGCTCACCGTGTATCCTTTCTCCACCGAGCTGTTTTCTGAGCGAAAAGACGGGATCGACACTCGCACCGGATGCATCTTCACTCGAACTGAGGCGTGATTTTCAGGTAGGTGATGTTTGATCTTGATCCTCTGGCGCACACAAACACATAGACACACACACACACACGCACACACTCACTCACTCAGTGCTGGTGGATTACTCCAGTTTGGCTGATAAAAATCACAGAATTCAAATGTGACGAAAGAGATCTCAGTGGTGCCCCCTGCTGGACCGGAGGGCACACCGTTGTAAGGATTATCTTGAAGAAAGCGCCACAGAGGACAGTTTAACCTTCAGGTGGCCCAGTGGGGTCATTTTTAATCGTGAATGTCTTTCCTTTTAATTATAAAACAATTAATTAATTAATTAACTTCGACAGGCAGTGGCATTGTGTCAAATTGTGTATTTTTTAATGTCATGGGCTTCGGTTTTATTGTTATTTCGATAATTTAGCATCTGTGGTGCTTGTGGAGACAGAGAAGGCTGTCTGCTAGTTGGATGGTGGTTTGAGCCCTGGCTTCTTTAATCTACATGAGAAAGGATCCTTGGGCAAGATACTGAATTCTGAGTTGCCTCCGATCCATATATGTAAGTGTGTGAATGTTGGGTTAGAATATTTTCTTGTTCTTCTTTCAACTGCTCAGTTTATGGGTTGCCACAGCCCGTCATCTGCATTCATTTCACCCTATCTCTACCATCCTCTGCTGACACCCCAGTAATCTGCATGTCCTCCTTCACTACATGTGCGAATCTTTTCTGTGGTCTTCCTCTTTTCCAGCTCCAACCTCATCCTTTTCGAGACTTTGAAATGCTTGGAAGAACAGCAAAAACACAACTCTACTTTACAAGCCTCAGTTAGCATGTTAAGTGTTAAAGCTCACAATATTACAATTAGAAAAAGATTGAACAAGTATGGCTTGTTTGAAGGGTTGGCATCATGGCTACACCTTGCAAAGCTGCACCTGAACCTTGGAACTTCGGGAACAATGTCCTTTGGACAGATGACACCAAAGTGTAGATGTTTGGCAATAATGCACAACGCCATGCAGGAGGAAATAAAACACAGCATATCAGCACAAAACACCTCATACAAACTGAAGCGTGGTAAAGGGGTAATGATTTTAGCTTGTTTTACAGCCGCAGGACTTGGGAACCTTGCAGACATTGAGTCGACCATGAACTACACTCTATACCAAAGGTTCAATGTGAAGCCATTTCTCTGACAGCTACAGCTTGGCTGAAATTGGATCATGCAGCAGGACAACGATCACAAGCACAGCAGAAAATCTACAACAGAATTGCTGAAAAAGAAAAGAATCAATGTGTCGTTTGAATGTGTGAATCAGTGCTGTGGTGGGACCTTAAGAGAGCTGAGTATAAAGGAATGGCTGCAAACCTCAATGAACTAGTAATAAACTGATTGATATTATCAGTGAAATACACAATACTTTTAACCAGTTCAAACATCTATGAAGACGTATTTCATTGTGTGTCATTGAATATGTACTTTTAAACCAGCCTTTAGTATGGTGTTGACAACAGAGTCACCCAGGAAACGTTACAGCAAGTGCATGAAACTCATGAAAACATATATGCTAGTAGAAATATATATACCATTGTGAAAAGAGTGACTTCACTGACATCAGGCACTGATACCAGTTATACGTGATGTGTAGCATGTGGAAAGTTTCCCTCGCACTGAAGGAAATTTGCCAACTCAGGAAACAACTTTGATGACATCATGGTGTTTTCAGTAGTGATATTGCAGATTGACATTACAAATTTATAATGCAAAGCCTGTGTTACAAACAGTCAAGAGTGTATTTGATGGGTGCTCATCACTCTAGGAAGGTAATAGAAATCTATATTTCCAGTAATTTTCAATAAGAGGGACTAAATGTGAGGAAATGAGAGTCTCTGTTTTGTTGCAGTGGTTCTGTGCTGCTTTTCTCTGCTTTATATTAGGGTCACACATTAAAACAATCAGCTTTTTCTTTGCTATTTTCAGAAATTTTATCCAGTTTTAAAAAAAGAATCAGTGGCTTAATCAAAGACAATAACATATACATACATGTTGGAAACAAAGTCACCACGATCACAATAATCAGCCTAAAACTTTGATACAATGTTACAGTTTTATTCAAGTAAGTTTCAACAAAAGCTCTTGCGTAAAGAGAGTTTCATCTGTTGCATATAAATATATTTTCCTTTAAACAACTGGGATCAATATAACATTGTGATATACATGATTTATGCTGCGATTTTTCTCTTTAAGGCTCATGTTTTTATGGATTTTATTTCTTCTAACAAGTGGCAGTAAAAGGCAAGCATACAGTACAATCCAACAGAAGTGAGCTATGAAAAATACCCCCCCCTCCCCCCCCTCTAAAAACGAAAGCAAAAAAACAAAGCTGAGGTTATATGATTTTCATTAAGGAGAAAAAACAAAGATTCCTTTTCCCACACAAGCAAAGAAAAATTCAACTTTATCTGCTGCTATAATAATCAGATGATTCATACTTGTTCTTTCCTAAACTGGGAGTGATTACATTTTAAAGTGAATGCATGTCTTAAGAAAACAAAAAAAACCCTGTTTTTGTTTTTTTTTAAAAATCTAAGTTGCTTTATATGCCTTCATGTGCAGTCCTCTTCTTTGTCATTTACACAGTGTGTCCGCTGAGCCGCTGTGGATAACTGTCGTTCTTTAATATCTAAAAAAGTGAACACGTAAATAGTTTCTGTGTGAAAATCTGAATAAAAACACAATAACCGATGGAGACAGTGAGAAATATTAGGACTAAAAGTGTCACCTCAGACATCGTACTTACGTTGACATGTGACAACCTGACACGTAGGCATAGTTGCCCGTGTAGCGAACATCACAGCGCACAATATTGTTGCTGTAGTCCGATTCTGGAACCTGGTAGTAAGGATTTACACTGATCTGTGGACAATATGGTTAAAGATCTGTTAGTAAAAGAAGAAATATTGATAAATGAAACTCCTTTAAAGGTGCTTTGGGAGGAAGTTGTGGTATTTCTAACAAACCTTCAGGACATAGTTGCCAGGTTTCACATCTGTGATGTCAATCCACTGGCAGTCGATGTCTGCGTTGTAGGTATCATAACATCCCGGGCTCAGGCCCTGCGCGTTGGACAGCATCCATATAAAACAAAGTATAAGCAAACTTTATATTAAATCATTTAATGTCCTTTTACATGCAAAAAAACAAAACAGTATTTGATTTCAACCTGTTTTTCCCGTCATTATATAAAAAGAACGTTTTTGGTTTAATCCTGGAGGTGATTTTGGATCCAATGTCAACAAGAAGAGAGACCAAAATACAAGTTAAAATTACGAAAAAAAAAACTGATGGAAAATTTGTCAACGTGCTGGAAAACTGACCACAGACGGTCATGAAGGTGAATCATCAGGAGAGACAGGAAATCATTAAATCACCATCAGAACTGGCTCATGCAGAAAGGAAATTCTAAAGCTGTTCTCTCAAACACAGGAGCCTCGGGAAAACAGCAGCGCTTATTTATGAAGCCCAACTTTCCTTTTTAGACACTTAAGAAACCAAATAATACGTCAGATTCTTCAGAATCTAAATGAATCAGAGGTACTGAAGTCTGGGAGCCCACAGATATGTCTCTTATAAATGCAATCTGCAATGGAATTACAAAAAACACTTTTCAAACTGAATTGTGCTGTACTGGGATACTTGAGCATAACAGATCTATTGTTAGTGTGATTTCCTATAAAAATGAAGTTCCCACCAAAAAAGTAATCCATGAAATTCCAGTCAAAAATAAAAACTATGGTTTCTACAGAGGTATATAGTAAGTGAGCTTGTAAAGTAGCAGCTAGTTGCAAAATTCAAAGTTTTTCCAACTTTGTTCTAACAGGAGCTAACTGGATAAATTTAGTACACTGTGGCACTGAGGCAGCCAAAACAAATTGTTTACACAGTGAACTTGTTAGGAAACAGCTGTACATCTGGCAGATAAAGCATGAATGTTTGAGCTGTGTTTCTACTAAATGCTAACCAACGCTTTCTGAGCAGCTTAACCTGGATTCATTTTTATAAGGCGGCAGCAGACGACTTCTCTGTCTACAGAACGATCTCTTTACAGAAGACAGCGTTGCTGCCTATGTGTATTTGTATCCTGAGTGAACTCAGTGAGGAGTTTACGGACTCAGCCGCTAGTTTCAGATCTTATTAAATACAAAATGATGGTCACCTTGTAAAACACACAAGCTGCTACTTTGTGATCTCACAGTTGCACACTTCTCTAAAAGATGTTGCCACAGCAGATGGCAGCACATCAGCGATCTGGCAAATTTTTACACCAGATGCACTTTCTCATGCAACCCCTAAGGGATTTGTGTCTATTAATGGACTCAAATGGGGGATTTTTTACATGTTAGGCGAACATTTAAACCACTCCACATGAAAGTAGCTTCCCCTCACTCATCACACAGTTTTCAGAAAAGAAGGCAACACCCAATAGGCTCAAACTAAGGCTTCAGAATGAGACTTCTTAAATCGTAATGTTGGTTGTCATGGTAGCTAGTACATATTTTACATGTAGTTTATGATTTTTAAATACTTTCATGCGTTAAATTGCTGCAGCTGAGCCAAAAGAGTGAAGCTGACCTTTAAATTTAAAGCAATGAACCTGAAAGACTCTGAAGTGCTTAAATGTGCTGATGGTCACCTTTCTCCTTCCTCTGTGGATGCATCACCATGTATAACACCTTTCACGTATGCGCAATCTTGTCATGTGACCCTTTTCAAAGTAAGGTACAACCTTTACAGTTACATTTACAGCACTTATCTCTGAGACCTGAGTATGTGAAGTGCAGGCATATCGCCTGTAGTATCCATAGTCACAGGAAGTGTCCTCCAAGCAGAAGCTGGCCTTGTGGCCCTCTGCCACTGACCGATGAGTGGTGGCATCCAGCAGATCGTAGTGGCTGAACTCATCCATGCTGTGGTAGTGCCTGTGGATCAGCAGCACAGTGACAGCAACTGAAGAAACAAGTCATTAAACTCAGTGAACTTCGCATCAGTGTGAAGTTTTCAAAGGTTTTCATTTGTGAGCCAATAAATGCAGACTAGTGTGTCAAATACATTTGGGTCAAAAGGCTTCAAGTCACAGTGACTAAAACTATATTTTATTCCTCATGTAGACGGTTATAGGAATAAGCATCTGGTTTACCTCCAGTATCAGGAAGAAAGAGTTCGTTCAATGAAACAAAAGCAATCTGGTTTTTAAATATCTATAGAGTCTACATAAATGGTTTCCTGGCTCTCTGTCAAAAGTGCTCCATCTTGGGGAGTCGCTCAGAGGACCGCTTGCTTCACAGCATAACTATGGACTGAGGTAGGTTTTCTGGAAACACCAGTCACATTTCTGTAAGTTCAAACATGGGACAAAAATACTAGCAGGTTTTCTTTTGGGCATAATATCCTCGTCATACAGCTTTAATGACTTTGCAGATGTAAATGAATGAAATGTTTAATTAGGCTACTTTAGATTTAGATTGAAAAGACAGGCTCTTTGTGTCTTAATGTTGAGCTTGAAAAAACAGAAGATTTCCTCTTCAAATGCCTAAAGATACAGCTAAAACTTGTGTTGAGACGTTGTTCCAGATATCAAATCTCTGCAAAAATATAAAAACAGCCAAAAGTAACACAGCTGTGGTTCAACAGGGGGTGCCATACCACAACTGCAGACTGCAACAGACAACCAGTAATTCTGGTAGCATCTCCTGAAAAACACTTTTAATGTCCAAACACCGCCCCTGTTCTTTAAATCATAGTCTTGATAAACATCAGCCTGGAAGTAGAAGAAGAGGTGTCAATGGAATGATGGATGGACTGAGACGTGACTTTCCAAAGCTTCTCACTTCACACTCAGGGCAGAATTCCCAGACTGAGTTTAGAGCTGTTTTTTGTTCATTTAAATGTCTTTTTAAAAATCCCTCCTAAGTTCATGTATTTATATATTAATACACTCAGTATGTTTGATATTTCAGCTGTGTTTCTGATGTTCTTATTTAGCATGCAGAGTCAAGCTGAGATGTACTGTAAATGCATCCAAACACCCATTTTTTTCTGAGAATTTCATTAATATTTGAATATTTTCTGGATCAAACCACTTTTCATCTCCCCCCCCTGCAGTATCTGGAGAAACAATCATCTCAAGCTTTTCTATACATGTGTGTCTTTTTCTTTTTTTGGTTCTTTGGGTTTATGGAAACCTCATATACCTGGAAAAACTGCAGTGCAGACACCTTAACAATTGTCTCATGAAGACAAAAAGGAGTGCATAAAGTCAGTTTGGGGTGTCAGTTTAATGCAACAACATGCCACAGAGACTCTTTGTCTGAGTGACGATGAGGTGGACAGCACTGGCATGACATTATACTCACTGGTGACAGCTGTGCCACTCCCAGGAGTAACGTGGCCTGTTGGGGAGGAAGTCTGCGGTGCCCTGGTTCTTGACTTTCTGAGGAAACCTCAGCAGCATGCGGCTATCGTAGTCTCGTGCTCTATAGGAGGAACTGTAGACAGGATACAAAGATAAAAAGATTTTAACCCCCCCAAAAACACTATTATAGGTGGACACAGTGATGTCACTAAGATTTGTTTTCCCTGCTACATACCCTCTTCTGAGTTGAGCCAGTTCATGTGTAAATGGTGGGTGGAAATTTTTTTTTTAAAAGGCAAAGTGGTTGTTTGGGTTAGTTTTCAATAATGTGTTTACCATTCAGGCTTTCTCTCCCAGAGGAGGCTATGATTAAACTTTTACAGAAATCCTCCACACCACCCCCTCTGCACCATCAGCGGCAGGATTTGGTTAATTTTACCTCATCTCATGCTCCCACTGGGCAGCTTTCACCCGCAAACACTTTAAAGTGGTTGTTATGGCTGAGAACTCTCTGAATCACACTCAAAAGCGGTGCGCTTTTTTCTTTCACTTTTTTTTTTCCTCGTGGACCAGTCCTGACAGCAGTCTACCTTGACAAACAATTTTCTTCAGCCGCACATCTCAGGTTGTACATCGGGACTCTCTGGACGTAGGCCGAGGCTTGGATGTAGTATGGGTCAGGAACCAGATCAGGGAGACCTACAATACACCATAATGATGACACATAATCTCCATTATAATGCAATAAAAACGGATCAACAAGTAGGAAAATTTTCACACATAAAAAGCAAAAAATGCTGAAATTTAGAGGCAAAAGAGGCACTAATTGACAAACTGGTTACTTGAGTGACTGTTTTTGATATGAAACATGCTTCCATCTTATATTTTAATGTTAATATTTTGATATAGTAGCTATTCATATAGTTCCCTGCTCCACTCTGTGTTTAACAACTATCTTTCTGCTAATTTAAATGTCTTAAGGGCACTTTTCCCATTCTTACCGTACTGATGATACCTTGTGCCATATCCGGGTCTCGCTCTCTCCCTCGGTCTCTCGTAAACGTCATAGTAATTATAATATGGATTATCGGTGTCAATGGACTTGTAGGGATCGTATGGATCGTCTCCCACCATCATGTCTTCTCTCCTGACATCGACCTGCTCTTGGGTATCATTTACTCTCCGGCTCCTCTGCGTCCCTGTGCGCTCACCGGGACGCGCTTGGTGATGCTGGCGGTGTTCCTGGCCTCTCACGAGCCTCTGGATCGGTAGCGGGAGGCTGCGCTGGCCCTGCGGGTTGGAGGCCGGACGGGGAGGCTGCTGCTGGGCCACCGGTTGTCTCTGGGTGTCCGCATCCCGGATGATTGTGACAGGTCGCACTTGCACTTGCTCCTGCGTTGCGCCCCTACGTCTGGCCGGCTGATACTCAGACCCTTGGCTTAGAATGCTAAATATCTTGCCGTTGTGTGACCACTGTAGCGTCTGCCGGAGGGCTCCTCTTTGGTCATTCCCTTGCTGTGTTCCCGGATTCCTTTGAGACTGAGCAGCCTGCAGGATGAAAACAAGTAAATAGACCCAGGAGTATGCGTAAAGCAGTGTGCCAAACACGCGCAATCCCATTGTGCACACGGTTAAAGGAAACCGACGGTGACAAAGCGACTGTTATAACGAGGTTGTCTTGGACTCAGTTATCCTTCATTTATGTCTGAAGGATATTCCGTGAGCAGTGAGAAAAAGCTAAGTTTCAGTGTATCCGTGTAAACTCATAACGCTCTGCAGCAGATGCGCTCTGTGAGACGACGGCGATGATGATGACGAGGAGGAGGAGTTCAGCATTTGGAGTTGCTGGTTCTGTTGCACAAGTCTAGTGCTGCTGCTCATATAACAACTGGAAGTGTGATCGTGCCCAGCCAAGAGTGTTTGATAACTGCTCAGTCTGGCAAGTTTAACAGCAGTAAAACCTTTTTTTTTACAGCACAAAGAGCAAACACGTATGTCTGTGCATCACACAGACACAGCAGCAGACGAAAGCTTTTTTTGTGAATCCATTTCGTTTTAGTCATGATGAATAATATGTCCCATTTCTTTGAAATGTCTCTATACTGTCTCCATTCCTTTCTTTTTCCAGCCAGATTTATAAAAAGTCATGATAAACTTTTGTCCTGACTGTTGGATGAACTTCCAAACATACTGCAACACCCTGTGCCAAAACTTTATCCACTCATCCATTATTTTTCTTTCATAGGAGAATTTCAAACCTAAACATGACTCTTTGATGGCTATGCAACACTTTCTGGGAAACCATCTGCCACATATCCACCCTCCAACCTCAACCCTACCTGCACTGGAGCTTTGCTGAAAACGTGAAACACACATCACATGCAAATTTTTTTTGCAAAAGTCACAATTAGTCTGTTCCGAGGAACCTCTAGTGATACTTGATATCTGCTTGACTGTGTCTGGCGGCTGACTGCTAAACTCTGTTCTTCTGCTGGTAAATCCAAGTCATTTGCTGCAGCCTAGTCAAATCACTGCCCTGGTGGTGACACCAGATGTATAATGCATATGTTGGGAAACTTAATGCACGGTTCTTTCTTTCTCTCTCTCGCAAACTAGGAAATTCTTTCTAGCATCTACACAATTGACCACAGGAAGCCTGCTGCTAAACCACAGTAAACGGTCACAAGGATTTTACAGCTTCTCAAATCGCAAAGTTTTATGAGAACAACCGACTTAAAGGGAAAGAATCTGGATTGTATTAGTTTATATATGCTTCCAACATGTACGCATGCAATATATCTTTAAAAACACAAAGTTCACAAGCAAGCAAAATAGCTGCACAACACATCTTGATTCATTTTAGTCAAGGTGTGAGGGAAAAGGGAAAAAAAGAGCATTAAAAAAAGAATTAGACTTTATGTGACACACGGCTGTTTAATGAATACGGGAAAAAATAAAAACAAATTTTCTGTATCACAGGTCATTTGGTGTCTTATTGCTAGCAGATGACTCCAAACAATACTGCATTTTATTTCTCTAAACAGTACCTGAAAAAGTTATCTGACAGGCAAATTCTACACCTGTACTTATTTTCTTTGATTTAGTTCTTGATGGGTTTTAAATCTGTGTCTGTAAATTAGACAAAAAAAAAAAAGTTGCTGAAACTGAAATCTGTGCCTGGGAGTTACCTTCAGCAGTGGAGTTAAGTGCCGGTCATTAGTGTCACAAAAATGGTAATAACACTATTTAGAACATTTAACCTTTATTTCAGTTCACACACTCACTCACACACACACACACACACACACACACACACACACACACACACACTACCTTTTTATACCTGAATGCAATTTAGTTTGTCTGATCTGTTTGAAAGTGAGCACCAACACTGGAGCAGCTTATGGTTGTTATTTTGGGGGTTCTGGGTTTTCCTCAAGGTTGTGTCATTGATGATGATGATCATGGGGGGTAATTTAAATTTCTTGTTTTCTCTTTCTTTTTTCATCCCCAAATGACTTGTGTTACTTGTTGGAGGAGTTAAGCACTATGAAAATCTTCAACCTTTACAGGGTGTTGTACATATGCACCATAAAAGTAACAAAAAAAGCCCTTATACACACTTTTCCTCTGCCCAATTTAAGGCTGTGAAATTTCCAATTTTCCAATCACTTTTTGGATGACAACACCAGGTTGTTTTTAAACTTCACAACCCATCTCATTAGGACCTTTTGAGCAGTGACACATTTTCTTCTTCTTCTTTCAGCTGCTCCCTTTAAGAGACTTTAAGAGAGGGTCATCAGCCTCCATCTCTCCATGTTACTACCATGCTCCTCTGTCACACCAACTCTCTGCATTGTCCTCCCTCACTACATCGATTAATCTTTGCTGTGGTCTCCCTCTTTTCCTTCTTCTTGGCACCTCCATATTCACCATTAAGGGGCGATCGTGGCTCAAGAGTTGGGAGGTC